CAACATCACCACAATCGGGTTTCCCCATACTTGCTCCGTTCCTGTGCCAGTGCAAATCACATGCAATGTCCCGCATTGTCGCATTTGAAAAACTGATAAACAAATAGCTAGTCCTGGAGCAATCCATAAATATGCACAAGCAGCAAATGCTCATTTCAGTTTTCAGAGTCGTCAAAAGCCATCACCACCAGAAATGCAGGCCGTCGTTTATGGAAGTAGTCGGGCACGAGAAGTTGGCTTCCCGGATGACAGCAAACAGGTCATCTGTCTAATACTGTATATTTAGAGCACTTGTAAAGGCTAGACGATGTGCTACCTTGGTGTACTTGCTGTCCATTGCTCGTTAGGATGAGAGCCACAACCTTCTAATAAATTACAACTAGCAAAACTGTCAAGCAGATGTAACCCATTTTTTGTGTGCTGGAAACCATAGCTTACTGGTATATCTAGGTCCAAAAAGTAATATTTATCTCTGGTAGCCCTTCTAACAAACTGATTACCGCTCTGGGTTTCAGCACCTCGTTCCTACCATGGAATGGTGACTTTAGACAATGAAATCTATATCATTGGAGGCTTTAGTGGCCAGGTGTACCTCAGCAGCTGTTGTAAGTTCAAGCCGGAAACACTCACCTGGCAAGACGTCACCCCAATGAACACGAAACGGTACACTTGTTGTTCTCATTGTTTATGCGCATATTTTTTAGTACAGTGATATAATGGCACAAGTAGAATCCAATAAGTACTAAGTCACTTGGTGGTGAACTGGTGTATGACAAGCTAGACGTTGTGAGGGCCCTTTGGGAGCAAGTGAACAATGCGAAAGCGCAAATAGATCTTTACGGTCTGAGGAGAATGGCGCTGCGAGGAGTTACCATGGGATCTGATCGACGCTCAACACTCAAGGGAGGGGCGGGACGGATATACAGTCAGACAATTACTGGTGCCATAGGAATTGGTACTTTTTATCTGCTGCTGAAGATGGGTACGGAACGCTTATGGGGTTGTCCCGAGTGCTATGATGTCGATTCTTAATTCAACATTCATCATTCCAGTGCTTAGTCTCTACCAGAAGTCGATGGAATGGATTCCAATGGTCAGTCTTGGGAACTCGTTAATTGTGACACCTTGATGTTTCCATGACTCCCTTCAGCATAACAGAACACTATCAAACATAAAGACTTAAACGTGTAAAGACTAAAGAGTGCTAACAGCAAACTGTCACAAACTGGCGCCATTATGATTGTTGCAAACTGCCTCCATTAAGATTGTCACAGACTGCCACCATTATTGTTGTCACAAACTGTCACCTTTATGATTGTCACAAACTGCCGCCATTATGACCAGTTTCAAAAAATGTAAGTAAAGATCCCTTCTCACGCCTCAGGCGCATCGGGCAGATAGGAAGAGCACCGACATTTTTTCACACCGAACGGCTCTAGGTAGGTAATGTGGTCAGCATTACGCCGGCCGTCTTTACTTCCCCAGGACATACATCCTGGTACCCACTTTAGGCTGTGTCGAGCTGCGACGCCCCGTACCATGATAAAAATCCACGCAGCCAGCAGTGGGTTTCGATCGCGGTACGTTGGAATTACGAGTCGGACTCGCAACGCCTAAGCCACGGACGCCGCCATCAGTTTCAATACTCACCCGAAAGACACATCGAAAGCTGCGTCATCGTTTCATTTAAAGAAAAAAAAAAGAGACATGGATCTGACAGATCTTCGATAATTTCTACCCCATTTTGGTATTGCATTCTGTTACACTACTGTTAATCTGCATCTCTTTGCATCGTCATTCATCTGACTGTGCCCATTATCCCAAAAATGATTTCCGTATAATGGCATGTTCCTGCGTGTTCCCAGAATATACAACCTTTCTCGTTTTTCACGTTCCACTTCTCAAGATCTTCTATATTTTACATTTCACCAAATGAAGTACAGTTTAGTATACAAAATGAATTATGGAGTGGGACAAACAGAACTACCAAAAAAAAAAAAAAAAAATTAGATTTTTAAAAGCATGTATCTTTCCCATTGCAACACACGCCTGTGAGACCTGGACACTTACTATACAAGCTGAGCAGCGCATAATTGCCTTTAAAAACCTATGTTATAGACGGGTTCTAAGAATATCATTGGTAAAGAAAAGAACAAATGCATTCATACTTCAAGAACTGAATATTGAAGAAGGTCGTCTATTAAAGACGATTAAACACAGAAAATGTAAATATTTAGGTCACTTGACACGTCGTGAAAGTTTAGAGAGAACAGAAATGATGGGGCATATGCCTGGGAAAAGAGGAAGAGGAAGGTCAAAGAGAAGATGGATGCAGGATGTGGCGGATGATCTCCAGATATGTGTATCGAACGCTGGACATCTTGCTTGTGATCAAGAAATCTTCTGGGGGGTTGTTATGGGAGCAAGGTTCTGCAAAGGACATGTTACTGACTGACTGAAGTACAGCTTGTGTGTGTATATTTATAATCAATCATCCAGTAGACACCTCAGTGAGAGTTAGAGGAGGAAACGACTTCTAAAACACCTGAAATAGGAGTTGCTAAAAGATGCCAAATGTGCTGGATTGGATTCTATCCAAGAATTTGAAAGGATTGCGCAGAACATAACAAATGGAGAAATTGACTGCAAGCCTTTTATAACGTGTAATATCATGACATGAAGATATATGTAAATTAATTCAACCAGGGTCCAATCGTTTGATCACTGTTCTCGCTTCTGTACCATACAACAATAACGTTGAACACGTAGCAATTTCTAATTTAATTGTTCGCATTTAGAAAGTCTTGTTTATATTTGTTTATGTTATTAACATCTTTTTTTGCATTGTTGAATTTAATTTACCTCAGTTTACGGTGCTCTTCCGTTTTTTTTTTTTTTTTACTTAACGTCATGCGTTGTCACTTGTCTAAGATGGAAGGAATGCGTTGCTTGTTCATGTGTGCTTTCTTTTTACTCCGGTACAATGTTATCATACATACATACATGGATGCCAAACATTCATGACACATACACACATACGTACACATACATACATACACACATTCAATACAATACAATACATACATGCATACATACATATATATATATATATATATATATATATATATATATATATATATATATATATATATATATATATATATATATACAGACAGACGTACATACATATATACATACATACAGACAGACATACACACACACGCACACACACACAAAAAAGCAGTTGTGGTAGAATGGTTAGTACGCTAGCCTGCACTGAGAGTAGTCTCGGTTCTATCTCTGACAGAGGCGGTTTTACATTTCCAGCTTGTTGTCGTGCCAGTCTCTCTCCCCACCCCCCCCCCCCACATGAAACTGGAATTAAACAATGTGTATAATATCTTGTGTGGAAATTATCTGAAAAGAAATGCCTCATGGACACTGACTACATCCTCCACTATGCTTTCATCATCATCATCCTCATTCTCATACTCATCATCATCATCGTCATCATCATCATCCAGTGCTTTGAAGACTGGCATGGGCCACTAAGCTTCTCGACAATTGCGATCTGCAACAGCACGCATCAGTTTCGTGTGCTGACATCCCTTCACACAAGTGACACAAGACTGTCAAGAATCTTGTCACGTTGTCTTTCTCTGTAACACCCCCTCGCTCCCCCCCCCCCCTCCTCCCAAGTGGTCACAATATTTTCAAGCTTCTTTCTTTTCCTAATGTTGACTGTCATTTTCTGATGTTTGTGATAAGTTGTCATCGATCCCTCGCCACTGTCAAAACATCTGGGCTGCTATGTTTAGTTGTCCCCAAAATTCTAAGAATGCTTCAGTGAAACCACATTTCACAGTGCTATAGCTGAGACTTTACTGAGGGAAATGTCGGCTCTGTGGCCAAGTCGATGCGAACGCATCGTAATGCCGGGATGCCGGGTTCGATCTCAACTGCGGGCCATGCGCCCTGCGTTAGTTTCAACAGTGGTGTCAAGAAAGCCGACCGTCCAGAAAGCAATGGCAAATTACTAGACGTAAATTTGCCTAGAAAAACCACACAACAGCCAGGGGATACGCAACTAACGTTAACTGAGGGAAACTGAAACCCAGATGTGTATACATTACAGATGCTACGTGGGGGTAGCAGAACTAAAAGGCTACCTTTACGCTGTAGGCGGTTACGATGGAGTCTATCGCCTCAACAGCGCCGAGCGCTTCAACAAAAACAAAAACCAGTGGAGCTTCATCTCGCCCATGACACACCAGAGAAGTGATGCAGGCGTGGCAGTTCTTGATGGTCAGTACATTTTTTTTTCTCACTCAAAAGATTATATGTACGTGTGTGCTGTGTCGTGTGCGTGTATGTGTATGTGTGTGTATGTTTTCTTCCACGCACTGAAGTATATTGCTTCCTTTTCTATTTGTTCATAACTGTTAACTATATAAACTCATTGGGTGTAAAGTAACAGCAAAGGACCACTCCCACACTTCAGGTGTAGGGGCAGACAAATATTTTTATAGACCAATCGCCATTCGATATAGGTGTCGTGGTCAACATCACACACCCTGCCTTTACGTCCCACGACTTCACCTGGTACCCAGTTAAGGCTGTGTCGACGTGGGAACCAAGGTAATTTTTGAAAAAAAAAAAAAAAAACAACCTGAACCTATGACCTTCCAAACCGCAGACGAGCCTCTAGCAGCCACACCAGGGTGTGTAATGAAGGCGTGTAGTTTATTAGAATTTTACACATGAGCTGAGAACTGACATTATGATACTCAGAAAATTATCATAAATGATCGGTTCCCATCTTTAGCAGGAAGCACAGTTCCATATTCATTAGTACCAGTAACAGTCTGACTGTTTGTCTGTCTTGCCCCTCTACTGAGTGTTGAGCGTTGGCCTGATCCATTAGCGACTCCTTGCTGCACCAATCTGTTTACCATTCTCTTCTTTCTTTGAGTGCCGATCAATACACTGTCTCTCTGTTTATTACATTCTCTTCAGGACCAAGATGATCTGTTTGCACCTCAGCAATGCTTACTCGCTCCCAAAGGACCTTCACAACATCTAGCTTGTCATGCATCAAGTCACCACTAAGTGGTTCTGAAATAGCAACCGGTAGTCGCGGTAGAACAGAAGTTATACGCTTGCTTTCTGACCTCAACGTTTTTATTTGTTCTGAAGAAATGACCTAGGGCTCCTTGGTCGACAAAATCTAAAATGAGTGTCAGGACATCGCCTATGAAGTAAAGGCGTTCATGCGATGGTGTACAGATTACCCACCGAGTGCCGTTTTGCCTATAAAACATGGTTAAACACCATACGCCTGAAGAGTCGGTTGCGTGAAAAGGGTCCTGTACTTTTTTTTTCCCGTGTGGGTTATAAGGTTCCATTTTGGAGAACAAAGAATAGATTCGCCTCCTCCCCTTCCCAATCTCCCCGGCTACTAAACAGGGGTGTTTCCTTCAGTTTGAGTGCATGTGCCTAAGAGGCAAGAAGCCAACATTCTGCAAACAAATAGCCCAAATCTGTAAAACGGATATGTACGCACAGCTTAAGTTCTGAATCAAGACCAAGGTCTTGGAGTAGACGAACAACCAGAATGTTCTGCTGGTGTTTAAGATGTGAATTAACCAGGCAGTAAATAACGTAGCTGTGGACATAAATCCCAGTTCTAAGTCTCTGTAACAGAATGAGATGTCTGTAGGGTAACTGTGTCTCTTGCTCCACTCCAGACAAGCTGTACGTCTGCGGTGGGTTCAACGGCATGGAATGTATCCGAGCTGTTGAAATGTACGACCCGGACATTGACCGTTGGTTCTCTGTGCCCGGAATGCCCCTTGGCCGCAGTGGGCTCGGTGTTGTGGCCTACAAGAACTACCTGTATGCTGTAGGCGGATTTGATGGCTCTGACAGCTCAGTGAGGCTGTCCACCATGGAATACTACAGCCCAGAGACAAGGCAATGGACATCTCTAGAGCCTATGCCACATCCGAGGAGGTAAGCCTGATTGAATTTTCAGTGATGAGAAGAGTGAGTAAGTGAAGTTAAATCTAACTGGGACCACACACTGAGGGATTAACACCCTGTGACGCAAAGTGCCACTGTTCGAATGAGAGCGAGGGGGATGAGAAATCCCCAGGTTCAAATCCCAGAAACCCCCTTCAATAGTAAAGTTATGTTGGGGCCCCCGAGGGTTAGAGAGTAACCTGAAGTCCAGACATGGGGTTGGGGTAGGGGGTGGGGATTGGGGATGGGGAGGGGATTAGGGGCGGGCGGGACCAATAATTGGGATGAAAAGAAGGTTAGGGATGGTACTGAAAGAAAATGCAAAGTCTTACGGGTCAGTGAATACACTTTACAATCCTCAACGTAGGATCACAGAGGAAACACAAGCTTTTAGTTCAACTTACAAGGCGGGTGGTTTTAAAAAAAGTGTTTCGCGTGGCTTCTGGGCAGTGACACGAACGTTGCTCCGTGAGAGAGATTAGGCTACCCCACGTGATATTCCTTGAGGAATCTTTTTCTTAAAGTCCCTGTCGTTTGGCCTTTTAGTCAGGTCTATCCTGTCCCTGTTTCGTGTACTCTCAACCAATTGTGACACATAATTCTCCATGACATACGTCAGACTGTCCAGCAGCTGTTCTCTCGGTCTCCCTCTGCCTCTCCTGCCCTCCAACTTTCCTACTGTCACGATGTACTTCAGTTTTCTCCCAATCATCACTTGACCAAAGAATGTATATTGTCTCCCCCTGATGTGGGCACTTTCTTTTAGGATATTCTCTTTATACTTTTTACCTGTCCTTATGATATATATATATCATGGCACAGTAAGAGAAGGAGAAGCAATATACGGTACAGACTGGAAAAAGAGCATTTACGCAGACAACACAACACACACATACACAAATGCTTGTTAAAAATGCACTGACCAAGAACAGGTAGGTATTCGTGTAAAACTTTGCCCCGTGTGGGGTCAGGGGCCCCATTTTTGAAAGTTTGTTCGTGGGGGTGGGGTGGGGTGGGGTGGGGGTGGGGGGTTGGGGAACACCCTAATTATTCGACTCTTTCGACATGATTGTTGGGGAGGCAGTGGATCTGTTCTCGTCTTTCCCCACAACGAGGCCCTGGAACCCACACGGTGATGCACATAACAATGTCAGCCAATGTGGAAGTACCTGTTACTGAGTATAGCAACAGAGGTCACGTTGGGTAAGCTAGATTTTGCTTGTTCATTCTTACTGCTAGCCCTGAAGTGAGGGTTAGCCAGCGACCTAGGCACTAAAGCGGTGAGCTCAAGAGTTCTGAATGACAGCGAGTTAAGGCTGTATTATGGAGCACGGCTGGAAATGTTTGGAGAATGTGGATCTTAGGAGGGAATCTCTGTTCGCCAGCGCGTGGACATACGTAATGTTGATTCGGTTTTATATATGGCGTACCGGGTAGGTAGAGCCGAACGTTTTGTGATTAAACTTATGAGGGTGAACAGTTTGTTGAGTTTTCCTGGACTGTGTGTCTGCTACAGAGTTAGATCGAGAATCATGAAATAGATACTTGGACCGTATGCTCATATGCCACCTCACATTTAGCATACAACACTGACTGACTTTACGCGCTCACTATATACATCGATGGGTCTGTAGTAAGATTTAAGAAAAAGGAAGATGGTGGGGGAAAAGGGGGGGGGGTGGAGGAAAGGTTTACAAATGTTAATAAACATTGTTTGAAAACAGAGCGCTGGCGTACAGCGTCACTATATCCAGTATGATAATGGAGATGGAGACTATAACGGCAGCTTTCCAAAGGCTTGAGAAAAGCACAGTCCAACATTTAAAAATTGTAAAGTACTGACAGAGAATCCGTCGGAAAATTGTGTCCTGCATCACTTGATAAGATCAGGAGCATATCAGGATTTTCTGTCCAGGTCATTAAGGTGTGCGAGGTAACAAGCATTCTGATAGATTAGCTGTCGCCTCTCCTCTGGGTTGTAGGCTGCTTTACGATAAAGCGTACATTTTGAAGGTTCTCTGGGATCGAATGGCTAGTGTAACATAACAGAAACTAAAAGAATAATTCAACCTAGAGTGAGTGTAGGTTCTGGCAGATATTTTCTGCACTGAGGGGGATATATAGACGGACTTTCAAGGAGGATGCAACTGGTACTATTAACATGAATCTTAGTTAGCTGCTAAAGAAAGAAATGAAGCACGTGTGGGAATGTCACCAGTACAGCGATGTCAGTTCTTGATTCACCACCCTAGCTCTACTTGATAACGAATACCCACATAATCTTTGGGGTCGTGTCTATACGGATGGGTCAGCGCAAAACGCAAGCAGAGATGGAGGAGCAGGGGTTATATTAGCATCCAAATAATACCAGATATACAGCTAAAATACCCACAGGAAAGCACTGTCACAACTAGATTGCAAAAGTTCAAGCAGTCAAAATAGCAGCTGAGAAACTGTTAAATGTACGTAATATTTCACAACCCGTTGTATTTCTGACAGATGCAGGAGCGGTGCTTCAGGCACTCCAGTCTGGAAAACGAACACTACTCTCCAAAATATGCAGCCGGTGTAAGGTAACTATGCAATGGATACCATCCCCATCCCGCTGTGAAGTTCATGGAAATGAAAGAGCTGATAAACTAGATAAGGAAAAACAATTTGACGTGCCAGTCTCTTATCAACAAAAGAAGAGAAATAATAAAATAAATCATAAAACCACCAAAACTTGCACAAGAAGATTGCTATTTTATGGACAGACCAAAGCAAGTTATTATTCTACGCCTTAGAACAGGACACGATCGACTTTGCAGCCACATATAAACAACATTTAAAATCGACAAATCAGCCATATGCACGTGTGGACTGGCACATGAGACAGCAGATCATGTCCTCCAAGACTGTCCACAATACAACATATCAAGGCAAAACTTTTGGCAAGAGAAACATCGGTGCAAGTCAAACTTTACTGGGTCGCTGAGTGAATTGCAAATGGCAGTAAAGTTCATACTAGAGACAACACTGCAGACATAGATAATCTATTTCAAGTGAACGAAAGAGGAAGAAGAAGAAGAAGAATAGGAAGAAAAAGAAGAAGTTCTTGTTGATTAATTCAGTCATTCCCCCTTCATGCGACTACCCGAAGGTTTGGCATGACTGCGATCCGATTAATCGCATCTAGAATGTCAGTCTTGTTTAACCTCCCTTGAAGTTATAGTTAGGACCCTTGTGACGACCGCATCCTGGTGTAAATTAATTACCTTGACAGGAAGGGATTTCTTAATAATTAGTCCGTATTGCCTTAATTGTTATACAAATGTAAATTATATTTCTTTTAGAAGTTATGTTATGTGTTCCATGTTATTTATGTTGTCAATATCTGCTTTGTGCAGTTAAGTGGCGCACTATACGGATGATAGGTAGCCGAGCCAAGGCGCGCTCAGTTGCCTGGTCTCGAGCCCTGTTTACTGTTGTTCTGTTTGATAGCTTTCCTACTTTCACATGCAGTTTCTAGAGCAGTTTTTGTGTGTGTGAACATTTAAATCCACTACCGGTTTGCTGGGCCTATCACAGTGTTTATCCTTGTAGAGACTTCGAATAATGTCACTTAAGTCATGTAATGAAAGTATGCACTTCCTGTGAAGAGAAATTTTAGTCACTATCGCATTGCCACCAGATCGGTGAACGATAGCACACAGCATTTAGTATTGTCTGAACTGTTCCTACATGTATTCAACATCTTGTCACTAGAGACCGTGCTCATTTGATATTCCGCTTGAAATCCAGCATTGCTGCTTTCTTTAACTTGAAGACAAATGCCGTTACAACCCTGGCTCCGTTGTCTGTACAGGGAACTGCATTATACATACGTTGTTTAGTTGATTGACTGCATTATTCATTGCCTGATTAAGACCGGTGTGTCAATCAACAGCTGGTCTGTATTCCTTATTGATGTTACAGCCACCCATCTCAAACAAACTATTTGCATTTCGCGATGGTTTGATAATGTTAGACGCTAAGCATAGAGCTGGTTTTTTCTTTGTACCTTAATGTAGACAGGTATTTGAGATTTTTGAAAAAAAAATAATTTATTTATTTTGGTAATTTTTTTTTTCTTTAAGCACAATATAAACATTTAAAATTGGGGAAGATGATGACAGTTTAAGACAGCCCCAGTCTCAGCTTATATCATCATCATCATCGCCATCATCATCATTGTTATTTTACATGCTCGTAAGTATGAGCACTGATGATTCGCCGTCCCATACAATCACCATGGCCTCAAATGAAGTCTATGGTCTTGTCAAGACTACGCATTGTGATCAAGCAATTGTCTTTTTACAAAAATCGTTGTCTTCACGTTTTGGCTTTCTGCTTAAAGTTTGCCAATTGTTAAGTTTTCATGTCTGTTTATATTTATTCGTATAGTATAATAACAAATGTGTTCTGTTTATGTTAATTTTCTCTCACAAACTTATCGATTTCATCCCATTTTTCAACATCCCGGTTTTCGGTCAAATATAGCGGATTTGCAACCGACCGTTATTTTTTTCTGTCTTAACAATTTAGTTGCTTCCACTCGTATGAGCTACACAGCTGTTCATGGCAGCGGGTTTAATTTTCAATGCATTTTGACCGCGTCCAATGTGTTTTGTGTGGTGAACTGCAGATTTTGAAAATGGTGGTGTCCCGCTGCGGTAGAACTGGTGGCGCCAACTGCATTATTGCATGTGCAACTGTTAATTTGTTTCAACTGCTACTTCCGTGGATAGTCAATTGCAGTTCTAGCGGTGGACTCTTGTTATTGGTACTTCTACGGCTGTTTTAATGGGTGGATGTGCTGTTGACATTGCCGAGACTGCATTCTGTTTAATGTAAGGTTTTCGTAGCACAGGGCAGATGCAGTTATGCTTTGACCCATTTTAGGGAAGTTGACAATGCGACTATCTAACGAATACGTTTAATTGCTTCGTTTTGTTTGTATGTCCATCATCCTCCTAGAAGTAACATTTCTGCTGCCTTGACACGTGCCTCAGCTTGTTTTTCCCTTAGACATGTTTGCGATCCGGTTTCTGTTGATACATATTGAGAAAAGTGGGTTAGTCATCATGACATGTTGCTAATTTAGAATATCCATACATGTCCCAACTGGTTCAGCTGAAAGCAAGGAGACAGACTGGGCGACGCTAAATGCACAGGGGACTGGAGAGAAGAGATTCAATCAGAATGTCACCGGCATCATTAGTGTGAAAACTTTTCATTAACTATGGAAAGAAGGAGAGGGCACATCTGGGAATATACCGAATGCAAAGATCTAGAATTTTGAATGACTGATTCCTTAACACAGTTGTTCATTATTTCATCCATTCATTTTATAATTCATTCACAGTCAGAACCTCTGTTTTTACATACCCCTCTAATTCTTCCGCCTGATTAGTAGAGGTGTAAATTGATTGTCGTTTTGTAATGTCCAACATATGATAAACATGTTTATATACCACGTTTACCATGGCTCTCATCAACATAACTCTAGGTACACTCTTATTAGTATGTTGTGAGTAGATCGGTTGGCTCCAACTTTTTTTTTAGGTGGCACCCCTCCCCCACCATTGAATGTATGGCAAGACCCCCTAAGCCTCACCCCCACCCAGCATAACAAAAATTAATTAAAAAGATGACAGCAAGATACAGCCTAAGCCTTGTTACTTGAACTTAGAGAAAAAAAACAACAACATCCGAATAAAACAAAATATTAAATAACAAAAGAAATAATCACATACGCACGCACACACACACACACACATGTACGCACACGCGCGCTCACACACACACACACACACACACACACACACACAACGTAGTGTTGAAATATCAGAGCGATGGCTAACATTGATTTTGCTGAACATCCTGATTATTGCAAATACATCCCTGGATATTTTTAAGGAAAGCTTTCGACAAGGTTTGGAAGGAGGGGCTTTTAAAGAAAATGAGAAACTATAAAGTTAAATGAAAGAATTCACAACTGGATTAAAGCATATCTACAAAACAGAAGAACTCGGGTACAGGTGGATGGTTTTAAAAGTGAAAAAGTTCTACAGTTCTACTGCGACAACGCGTCCCTCAAGGTGGTGTCCTGTCGCCCACACTTTTCTTCTTATATAACAAAGACATGGTTGCTGAGACACGAAATAGAATCAAAATGGCAATGTATGCCAACGACCTGGTACTGTGGTGGACCAATGAACATGCAACGATAGCCACAAAAACACTACAGCGAGCTACATATGCACTTGAGGCATAGGCGAATATATGGTATGTCAGCATTAACACAGACAAATGTAGCACAACACTCTTCACCCACTTCCCAAAGCAAAATGAGAGCATTATTAAAATAAACGGAATACCCCTAAGAGATGATAAAGAGCCCACGTACCTCGGAGTCACATTTGATGACAGGTTGACATGGAGAAAACATACGAACACGACAGCAACCAAAACCAGGAGAAGACAGCCATGCTAAGAAAACTAAGTGGAACCACATGGGGAGCCAGTGGGAAAATAGTAAAGTACACAAGCAGAGCATACAACCACGCTTGGAATATGGGTCAACTGCATGGTGTTCAGCATCTAGTGCGACATTAAAGAAGTTGGAAAAAGTGCAAAATCAAGCGCTTAGAGTTATCACAGGAGGGATGAAATCAACCCCCATATTAGAAATGGAGAAAGCTGGGAAAACACAGGCACTGAGAGAAAGCAGAGATACAAAATTGTGTTGTGTTTGAAAGACCGTTGGATCTTATTATATGAATATACCATTGCGTTTTTTGCCTTTTCACTGTAGTTAAAAGAGGTTCTTATTTGCCAGTGGGAATATAGTGCTAGCCCTATATTTTGCAGACTAATCGGCACTCGGTGGGAGATGTGGTCTGCATCTCGCCGGCTGCCTTCACTTCCCAGGACTCAACATGGTACCCACTCACGGCCTGTCAGAACCCAAACCGACGATCTTATAATCCGCAGGCGAGCGCCTAGCGCTAAACCACGGCGTCTCCAGAGGTGAACGTATGAGATTGTAAAATCATTATCTTCAACGCTAACTGGCATGGAACATGATGAGTGTGTTGACTCATGCGTTGTATTGTGTATTATTTTAGCAACCTGGCTGTTGAAGTTCTAGAAGATATTCTCTATGCTATTGGAGGTTACAGTGGGGACCGCACGACATCGCTCGTGGAGTGCTACGATTTCTCAACCAACACTTGGTATGTGTCAAAGCTCTTTTGTGAGACTGTTTCTCGTATCCATTACTCTGCGTGTTTGCTGTTAGTTAATCGACAGATTATCCTCATTGCACGTCAGACAAGTCGACAAACGCTCGAATCCCATCTTAACTTTATCGCTCAGCGCATGGCGACTGATAACACCAGTTTTGTGTTGGTTTAATTCTCTTCTTTGGCTACCTGTATAGTGTTTATGTTTGGCGACATCTCTTTTGACCTGAAGTTCTTGTAGTCTTTTATGTGTTGCCGATTTAACGTCGTCTTCTAGATCATCTTCTCGTCCTGAGTCCTTGAGAGCACTGAACTTAGAATGTCGTGGCCCTACCAGCAAGCAAATCCGTTCGTTCCTTCCCACATTACCCCGTGTGTCCAGGCACAAAAACAAAACTGTGTGTGTTTCTGTACGCTTATACATAACACACAGATTGGGTTTACTTTATTTTGGGCCCTTGAGGTGTTATCGATATAAGTGTTTTATCCTTTTCATATAAGAGGGGCTTCACAGAACGTCGCTCTTATCCCAGCTCACCTGAAATAAACGTGGTCTCCTTCCACCTCTCTCCCCTCGTGCACTCTTCTACCTGAGCTGTCTCACGTCCTGTGCCCATCTTTGAGCTGGTTGGCCTCTGTTCCTCTTTCCTGGTACTATGCACTCCGCCACTATTTTTCCCCGTTCACCGTGGCCTAAATATGGTTTCTGAAAGCCACTCTTCCCTTGATGTTCCTATTTGTTTAGGATAATAGTGTTTATTTGCTTCTTAGTCTTTGGTCTTCTGATGATCTGTGTATTGCATTTTAGTTCAAAAGCCCATAATTGTTTCTCCATTAATGACTGCGAAATAGTTATCGACTCATATCCGTACAATTTAAATGTAAGAATGACATGATATTTTCTGAGGGGGTGGGGTGGGGGGTGGGGGGGGGGGGGAGATGTAATGTTCGCTGATGAGCTCTGTCAAGAGCACTATTGAAACTGATGTTCATTTCTGTTAGGCTGTTCTTAATGCCATCACTCCATATTTTCCGAGGTCTTCCACTCGCTCTATACCCGTTGTAACGTTTTAGTGTGGCTCGCTGTGGTGGATAGTACTAGGGTATTCTTGTTAGGTATTCTTGTTGCAGCTCTTCTAAGGCATTTCATCTCTGTTGTCACAATTTTACGTTCATTGGAGCATGTAAGTGTCCACGTTTGGCACTGATAGCATAGTGATGGCCAAAGAATAGTTCTGATAAGATTTACTTTAATGCTCCGAGGTATCTGACACACATTGTGTCAACAGGTCAGATAGTTGCCCATTACTTGATTAGCTTTGGCACAATTGTCTAATTAAGGTTAGCATATTTGGAAACCGATCGCGTGATCACACCTTCTGCTTTCTCTCTTCTTTTTTTTTCCATCTAGGCGTAGGACTATTTTAAAAAATGAACTTGAGTACCACATGCATGTTTTGAGATAGAAAGATCACGGGTTCAATCTCCGAGGAAGGCTGGGATTATTTCAGGTGGATTTTAGAAATTTTCTCTGGTTTCTGAGTAGTACGATCAGACGCCCATGTGTATTGTTGCGCATCAAAAGCAGGAGCGATCTTAATGGAGGAAGGATACAATAACTAGATGTCCTTGGCAGTTGGAAATGAAGTTAGAAGTTTGAAATTTGAACAACTGATCAACATCATGGCACACGGGTAGTAACCTAAAAGTGCTCCGTTCTTGTTCTAACTCAAGTCTGAGTCCGAAGAAGCTCAGCTCAATTCACACGCTCTGTAGCAGCCGGCGAGAATCCTGAAATACTTTGCGTAGATTTTAAACTACAAATTTACCCGACGTCCCATACCATGATAAAAGTCCACGCAGCCAGGAGTCGGTTTCGATCGCGGCACGTTGGAATTACAAGTCAGATTCTCAACGCCTAAACCACGTAAAAAAAAAAAAAAAGACTAGTCGAAGTATTCGATTTCTTGTCTCTTTTATCAAACTTCCCAGTTGCTTGTGCGCTCATGCATGCATGCATACATTTAATATTATTGTATGCTGTTTTATGGGTGTCCTCGACACGAGCCTTGCGTTGGTTTCGACAGTGGTATCAGGGGGCCGATCGTCCAGTTATGGCAAACTACTGGACGTAAATTTGCCTAGAGAAACCACACAACAGCCAGGGGCTGCTGGGGTTGGTTCTGCAACGTCCTGTAAAGGATATGTAACTAACCTTGAACATCTTCACGAAGAAAACATTGGGGGAGGCTTAAACTCTTATAATTTTTTAGTGACGGGGCGCTGAAGGAGCTTGTGCACTGTTTATGTGCGCAATAATAATGTTAATAATAGAGTGATAATAATAATACGCTGAATGACAAAAAATCTAGTTACATTTTTTAAACAATAAGAAATGTATAAACACATACATAAAAAGTGAGACAACTTATACATTTTCTAGGAAAGGAGTTGGGGGAGGGGGGTTCTCAGCTCTCTAAAACTTGGGGGTGGGGTGGGGGGGGGGGGGGTGGGGGTCAAGAGGGTTCAAATGGATCCTTAAACACTGGGTGGTGGTAAAGGGGAGGGGGGGGGAGCTAGGGCTCTGATACCTTGACACATTGCTACATTTCGGCTCCTGTGTACTTATTCTACCTACTCCAGCCACCTAATTCTAAAACTGTAAAGGGTCGAAATAATACGAGTTAGTTAATACAGTCTCGTTTTCACGTATCAAATACTCAATATTTTGGTTTGGTTTGAAACTCGTGACAAACAAATTAAAACTGCCGCTAATGACGTCATCGGGCACGCAAATTTACTTGGTGGAGATAATAAAACACTGGCGCATGTTGACAACGTGAACTGTTCGATTAGGATTGTCTAATTGAACCACTCTAAACAGTATTCTGATGTCCCATACATCGTCTCTTTGACTCGTTTATATTGGAAGCACATTTTGCAATCGTTCAAACAGAGGCAAAATAGCCAATAGTTTGTTACTCCTGACATATCCAGGTTAGAAAGATACTATGTCTTTGTGAAAGAGCTTCCTGCTTGTGTATGCCTGATGCCATAAGCATGATGTATCTGCGCATTTAACATTGTGTTTAGGAAATGAGGATTGAACGAACGAACGAATTTTATTTTTAGAGGGTCACAAAATTGGGCCCACTGGCCCGTCTTATATTCGACCCTTTCTTTTCGAGCCGCTAGAAAGATACAGACAACGTAGCTGCTAGAAGCTGGCTTGCCGACTCGAAGATCCTTGGTTTCATTGCACATAATCAATGGATTACATGGTCAGCATAATGCTGGCCGCTTTTACTTTCCATTATATTTTAGCTGGTTGACCTGGAAACTAATGACAGGAAGTTAAAAAAAAAAAAAAAAAACGACAACAACAACAACACACTCTTGCCTTCTGGAAACGAATCCAAGACATTTAGGACTACATTTATTTACTGCGCTATTGCGGGTACTCTTTGGACATTTGGACAGGCTGATGAATGTATGTCAACGTAGAAAATGCAAGAACAGTATATCTACACGTAGTGAAATACAAGGACTTTTTACGTGATGAACAGTAAATCTGGACGTAGTAAAACACAAGGATTTGCACGTGATCAACAGTATATCTGAAGGTAGTTAAATAGAAGGATTTGCACGCAATAAACAGTATATCTGATCGTAGTAAAAATTGCCATATCAGTCGAAAAGGTTGTGAAGGCTGAGGACGTAGTCTAAAGCCATGTGGATGTGGAAAGCAACGGGAAACTACCACATTACTATCCCAAGAAACTCATCATGGAAGCCTAAAATCTGAACGGATTGGAAACAATTATAGCAGAAGGCATGGTACCAGGAAGGAGGGACAGGGGCCGACCAACACTAAGATGGGCACATGATATAAGTGACTCCTTGAGTATGAAAGTGCATGAGGCGGGAGAGCTAGCAAAAGACAGAGTTTCTTTCAGGCAGATCGTGATGAGAACGCCGTTCTGCAAAGGACCTGCTACATGATGATGATGAGTAAAATTAAAAGATGTGCACGCTATGAACAGTATATCTGGACGCAGTAAAATACAAGGATTTGCACGCGATGAACAGTGTATCTGGAGGTAGTAAAATGCAAGAATTTATACGCGATGAAAAGTATAGCCGAGCCTAGTAAAATACACACATGAACAGTATATCTGGGTGTAGTAAAATACGAAGATGTGTACACGATGAACAGAATATTTATGTGTAGTAAAATACAAAGATGTGCACGCGATAAACAGTATTTTCGGACGTAGTAAAATTAACAGATTTGCACGCGACGAACATTGTCTGGATTTTTGAAAACGCTAATAGCGTGGTATTGTCAATGTGGAACAGCATTTAACAATTAGGTGTCGGTATAATTCTTGTATGTCTCAGTACAACTCTTACTATTCCTTACCTTCATCGTCCCCCTTGTGGGATGCAATTTTTCGTTATTTTGAAGCCTCACCCTGGCTTTTGCCATGGACCGCAATATAGATTAACGGTTGAACGCGGTTGCCGGGACCTCTCCACGGGTGATCCTCATTCGCATGGTGGCACTTTGTATCACCGATTTTTATCGCTCTGTGTGATTTCCTGGTGGGGTGAAAATTTACTTACTTACTATTTCGTCACTTTGCAATCCTATTTGATCAATCTTCTCCACCGAAAAATACTTGACTAATTGACCAACCATTTTACATCTGTTATCACTGACCAATACTTGATAAAATGGTAGATCCATCTACAACTGTTTGCCTTTACTTGATTATATAACAGATCCATCTACAACTGTCAGCACTAGTCAATACTTGATTAGATGACAGATCCATCTACAGCTGTCAACACTAGTCAATACTTGATTGAATGACAGATCCATCTACAGCTGTCAACACTAGCCAATACTTGATTAAGTGACAGATCCATCTACACCTGTCAACATTAGCCAATACTTAATTAGATGACAGATCTATCTACAACTTGCAACACTAGCCAATACTTGATTAGATAACAGATCCATCTACAGCTGTCAACACTAGTCAATACTTGATTCAATGACAGATCCATCTACAGCTGTCAACACTAGCCAATACTTGATTAAGTGACAGATCCATCTACAGCTGTCAACACTAGTCAATACTTGATTCATTGACAGATCCATCTACAGCTGTCAACACTAGCCAATACTTGATTAAGTGACAGATCCATCTACAGCTGTCAACATTAGCCAATACTTAATTAGATGACAGATCCATCTACAGCTGTCAACACTAGCCAATACTTGATTAGATGACAGATCCATCTACAGCTGTCAACACTAGTCAATACTTGATTCAATGACAGATCCATCTACAGCTGTCAACACTAGCCAATACTTGATTAAGTGACAGATCCATCTACAGCTGTCAACACTAGCCAATACTTGATTAAGTGACAGATCCATCTACAGCTGTCAACACTAGCCAATACTTGATTAAGTGACAGATCCATCTACAGCTGTCAACATTAGCCAATACTTAATTAGATGACAGATCCATCTACAGCTGTCAACACTAGCCAATACTTGATTAGATGACAGATCCATCTACAGCTGTCAACACTAGCCAATACTTGATTAAGTGACAGATCCATCTACAGCTGTCAACACTAGCCAATACTTGATTAAGTGACAGATCCATCTACAGCTGTCAACACTAGCCAATATTTGATTAAGTGAAAGATCCATCTACAGCTGTCAAAACTAGCCAATACTTGATTAAGTGACAGATCCATCTACAACTGTTAACACTAACAAGTACTTGACCAAACAGCTGATCAGTCTATAATTGCTACTACTGACCAATACTTGATCAAATTTTCAACCAATCTGCAACCTTTAACGCTGACCGATACTTAACCAAATGACAGATTAATCTACAAGTGTTAAAACTTACAAATTATTGTTCAAATGACCCATCAGTCTACTTTTGTTACCACTGACGTGATTAAAAAAAAAGGTTAAGTCGGGAGATATGAACCAGCGTAATTGCACACGGTTATAAACCATAAGTGCTCTGCCATCAGTAGGGACATCTGATAAGAATTGTCCGCCTGTGTCGCCGTTCGCACGTAACTCTGTAGCTACAGCGACGTTCCTCCATTTACCCCAGAGTATCACTCTGGTACCCATTTCCTAGAGGCTGGGTGAACCCCGGGAGCCGCTCGGTTTCGAATACGACCATGGGTTTCGCAGCTGGATTTGAAAGCGAGCTTCTTATCGACTGCGCTAATGCGGCCACTGACATGATGAAATTACTTATCAATCCACCCCTGTTACCACTGATTTTATCAAATGACTGACTACTCTTTACGTTATATGACAGTTATAAAGCATTGATTAATTTTTGCAAACTGTTGTTTATGTCTATTTTTGTGTTTGTTCAATCTACACCTGTCGCCACTGACTATAAAATTATCGACCGACCAAACAAACACTGTTACCCCAGACTCAATCATATAACTGACCGATCAGCACCTGTTACCACTGACTCGATCAGATAAATGACCAGTTTACACCTGCCTGCCTACAGGTACCAATCAACAAGACTAAGTCACAACCGAAGTGCCCTAGGAGTGTGTGTTGTCAGTGGCTTGCCGAACACGGCAGACATTCTCAGAAGAGACCACGCTGGCTTCAGGCAAAGGCTGCCTACAGTAGAATACTGAGACAGAAGTCAACTCTGCATTGCATAGCTAGAGTTCAAATATTCATTTCAGAACAGAGGGTCAGCCTTTTGAAATGTTTAAATGTAGAGATAAAGATGAGAGAGGAGAGATAGATAGATAGATAGATAGATAGAGAGAGAGAGAGAGAGAGAGAGAGGACAAGGGAGAGGGCAGGGAAGAGAGGAAGGGAGGGAAAGAGAGAACTAGAAAGGGAGGGGGGATAAGAAAAAAAGTCGAGAGGATAAGAGTGAGTGGCATAGAAGGACTTAGTATGACAAAATGACACAGTGAATGAGGAAGAGAGTGTGAGGTAGAATGAGAGAGAAAGAGACAGGGAATGAGTGTGAAATACAGATGTACGGTGAAAATGGGAGGGAACCAGACTGAGAAATAAACAAAATATGAATGAAGCAATGAAAGAAACAGTTCACATTAGAAATGGTGTCCCCTTATATAAATTTTCATCAGCCACCGCTTTAAAAAAAATGTAATTAAAAAAAAAAACCACACATTTAATTTATATTTTAAAGGGAACCCGAATTCCTTTTTTTTTTTCCCTTTTTTTAAAATCGAAACATCGTGAAATAGTGAAATGAATAATAAGAAAGGGATCTCATTACCTAAAAGAAAGTTGCTGGCCGCATTTCTGTAATTTTATGAACAGTATAAATGCACTTGTAATAGTAATTAGGATACACTCATTAGTAAAGACATGAGTGTTATCCGTCAATTTAATTTGTATATATAGTTCCATAAAATTCATATCATACTTTACACATTAACAAAGTAAAATCTAGAATTTGTTTTCTATATTGTTCGATTGAAATATATTTATTATAAATGAAAATTTGGAGCACCATTATTTTTATACCCTATACAACATTATTATGTGAAGTTGTTCGCACTAACAGTCCATATTATTATTTCCCGTCCTTTTTCAGGATGAAATTTTTCGTTATTTGAAGCCATACCCTGGCTCTTTCCAGGGCCGCAATATAGCCAGGCCATAAATATGGCCAATTTGCTGAACGCGGTTTCTGAGACCTCTCCACGGTGATCCTCATCCACATGGTGGCACATTGTGTCATCGGGTGTTTATCGCTTGTATGATGTCCTGGTGGGGTAAAAGTCAGCCAGTCACTAACAGTGATCGTAGAAGTCGTCCCTCTGTGGGATGTAATTTTTTTTTTGTTGAAGCCCCAATTCAGCTTGTGCCCGGGGCCCTAAAAATAGCTGGGCCATAAATATGGCCTAACGGGTGAAAGGAGTTTCCGGGACCTCTCCACGGGTGATGCTTATCTGCACGATGGCACTTTATGTCACCGGGTGTTTTATCGCGTGTGTGATCACCTGGTGGGGTACAACCTACCTATCTACACTAACAGTGATGAACCAGTACGTCACAATACAAGACGCAATTTTTGTTGTTTTCAATACCTGTCTGTTGCAGGGTCCTTAGTATAACACAACAAATAGCTGGACGGGGTTTTTGGTCCCCGGGTAATCCTCATTCGAAACGTGACACTTTGTGTCATCGGATGTTTATCGCTCGATGTGATGTCCTAGTTTGATTGACTACCACTCACTCACTTCCCCTTCTGATTTCTGGGCCCCATTGTTGGGGGGGGAGGGGAGGGGGGGGGAGAAGAATAGACCTGCTGCCTTCCATACAAGCATGTCGTAAAAGTGGACAAACTGGAAGCTTTCGTCGAAGTCGGAGTGCATCTGTCTGAAAGGAAAGGAACCACAATCTGCATTCAGATGAGTCAGATATGTCAAACGGATGTGCACTCAGGTTCTGGAACAAGACTGAAGTGCAGAGGTGGACAAATACCAAGAACTTTCCGCCAGAGTTTACAGCCAGTGAAGAAGACTCAATCACTTACTAGCAGTAATGGAACTAGGACAGCAGTGTGCACTTGATTCGGCTAATGGGTTTCCATATTTAACTCTTTTCATACGACTGAACTGGGCACCATGGATTTGTTGTTGGACTGGTATCCGGAAAGTGGTTCTTTGAGTCACTGTGTGCCGATGCCAAGACTGAATTAAAATTATGGAATGTTCTGAGAAGCTCGCATATTTTTACTCTGCTGTCAATTTAGTGATATATGAATTCTAACTGACTATATAAGTAAAATATCGCATGTGTAACCGCTAAAAGAAGAGAAGAAAGCACTTTTTCCGTCTGAAATCTATTTAAAAAAAAAAAAAAAAAAAACTTTTAACCACAAGCAAATAGTGTCGGCAGTTATGATATTCTACTGACATAAATCCAGTTACATAGAAACGATTTCAAAATAAGGCATACATTACTAAAAGCAAGAAGTTATTTAAAAGTTAGTTCCACACATACTTTAGTTTTGACAGCATCACGTGGCAGCACCAGATATCACCATTCCCTTGCAAGTATCATGAGAAATCAGGTCCCATTTGACTCCAGGAGTGAGGTAATTCATGCATCCGTTAATCTGATCTGCACATCACTCCTTGTTCGCCTTGTATCTTTTTGTGTGTGTTACTTAACATTCGAAAGCGATATCGATTGCACACACACACACAAAGTAAGTAAGTAAAGGACCCTTTTCCACGCCTTTTAGGCGTATAGGGCATATAGGGCTAGACCTATATTTTATAGACCAATCGGCACAAGATGAGTGATGTGGTCAGCATCACGCCGGTCGCCTTTACTTCCCGGGACTGCACCCGGTCCACACTCAAGGCTGGGTCGACCTGGGAGCTAGGGTCATTTTTGAAAAAAGTCCAGCTCCGCTAGGGAGCGAACCCACGACCTTCCGATCCGTAGCGAGCGTCTAGCCGTTCTGCCAAGGCGATTCCCACACACACACACAGACACACAGACACACACACACGACACACGACACACACACACATACACAGACACACACACAGACACACATACACAGAAACGAAGATTAAAAACTGTTTTAAAATGTATTTCCCGTACCCCTGGCATATGACACATGTGATAGTTTTTGTAGTCAACGGACACTCTGTGGGGGCGATGTCGTCAAGGTCACAACGATCGTCTTTACTTTCCGGGACAGCATCTGCGGGCCGTTTAGCCTGGGCCGACCTGGGAACCGCGGTATCTGTCTATCTATTCTCTTTTACCCCACTAGGACATCACACAAGCGATAAACACCCGAAGTGTCACCATGTAGATGAGGGATCACCAGTGGACAGGTCCCAGAAACCTCGTTCAGCCATAAGACCATATTTATACCCGGGCTATATTGCGGCCCCTAGCAAGAGCCAGAGCTTTAAATAACGAAAAATTACATCCTACAATGGGATGACTAGATATAAACCGCGTTAGGTTTGGGGTGAAGGAGAAGGGGGAGGGGGGACCAATTAACTCAGAGCCGATTAGATAGCTTAGACAGACTTCATTTTTAAATTGGTCTTTTTTATATTAAAAAAAAAAGATGCAGGCGCCCCCCCCCCCCAAAGTGATTTTGAGTGCTATTTGTGTGTATAATAATACACAGGTCGCACGTGTACAACGCGACCCTTTAAATCTGTGTAAACATTTTGAGATTTTAATTACACGAAATTGAACGATGACACCCAAAGATCAGTAAAATAAGCTGCATTTAAACAATGCCGTGGGTATATTCTACATTCTGATAATGCAGGTATTAATTCTGTAAGTACCAGCAGATTCAGTAGGTTCTTTCCAAGGAGTACTACAGTCATAAGAAACACAAACACCGTGAGTATAACCCGTGGGTATATTTATCACAGATGCAGCAACACATTTATATATAATTAAATTTAGAGTAAATAGGACCGACTTCATTGCACCGGTTAAAAAAAAATCTTATATGGCTCAGTCTTTCTTCAAAGAACAGCTAGCCACCTGCCGAAAGCGTAACACAAAAGCACGAACTCTGAACTCTGTAGCCCCGGCGACGATCCACAGCGATCTTCTTAACAATTGCACTAGCGAACTTAACAGCGCAGCCTTGAAACGAACCCACGACTTTCAGGGCGCCAGGCAAACGTCATGACCACTTTGCAACGCACCGCTACTTTGCAACTGACCCATGTTCTCTCCACCCCCCCCCCCCCCTCCCAACCAAGAGTCCGAAAAAGGGGTCAGCGTTTTCTTTTTTTTTTTTAGCTCGGTCAGCCACTGCTCATTTAATATCACAACTATCTGTTATAGAAGAGTTCCTCATGTTGTGTCTTTGAACTACAGTTAACGTATATGAGTCAATGGGAATATGTTGGTTTAAGTGTCCTGTCTAACCCATCTGTTCGGCTAATCCATCCATCTATTTACCTTCTTCGCCTTCCTATTGCTCTCTTCCCATCAGTCGTTGCACAGTTTTCGAGCCCTTTCCTTCCCATAATGTGCCCGAACAAAACCGACCGTCTACGTCAAATGTTTCAAACCAGTTTACAACTTTCATCTATTTCGCTTTTCTTTATGCCACGCTATTCTTTGCATTCCTCTCTAAAACTACGTCTGTACTGCGAACAAATTAACATGTTTTTTGTCCATGGTTTTCAAACCTGCAACAAATAGGTTCAATAGTACTTTAAGCCCCCCCCCCCCCACCCCTCACCCCCATTTTTTAAAACATATAATATTTTTGACATATATAATATTGTTAAAAAAAAAAAAAAAAAAAAACGTCATCACATAATCTGCTGTGTTTATGTATGTGTGTGCTCACATCTCATTACCATTTAAAAAAAATAATTGCAATTTTCAATGCAACTATTTGTATTGACTGGAAGTTTTATATACTAGAAGTTAACTTGTGTTAATTTTTTAATTATATATTATATAGTGAGTTTGTTACTTCATTTAGTGAATTATCTAATTATTTATTCTACTTATTGAATTTTTTTATGATCGTTAGTTTAACGTTGAGCGATCTTAGTTTAACGTTAAGCAATCTCTCTCTTGAAGTATTTATTTTTTGTCAGGATTAATAAACACGTTACACCAAAATCTGAATGTGATT